AGTGTATCTTTTGCCTATATATTACTCACTGACACTATCCAATATGATCAATAATCAATTCTTTCTGTTACGGGAAAAACAAACCAAATGTTGTTGCCTTTTGGCTAGTGTTAACCTTATTTGGACAGGACTTATGGTGTGGATCCTTTGCCTCACATTCCTTTTTGCCTGATTCCTCTCTTTCTGCCATAATGTGGAGCCTCCCATCCTCACTCCCCCCAACTAATTGATTTCCAGATAGCTGACCTTAAGCTCCCAAATGTGAGTGACTGACACTTGGAGGCGTGTGGGTTTTCTCTCTGACTGGTGTGGGTAACCTGAGAGAGCTTGAGAGTTGTCCTGAAGGCTGGGGATGTGCCGCAGGAAGCCTGGAGGCTGTGTAGATGTGGCTGCTGTGTCTACAGGGAAGAAGGATCTCTGCAACACTAACAAACTGCTGTGTTGCCGAGCCTCTGATTTGTTATGACAGGGAAGTGCTGTGTTTATGTTTAACTCAGAGCTTTGAAATGTAAAGCGCAGCTTTGGCCTCAGGCTGATGGAGTGACCTGAGTTGTTGGTGGTGTGTACCAACAGTGCGTGTGTCAGTGCGTGTCTACTCACTGACACGCTTAGGTAAAACTTAGGTTTTACCTGGTCAGAAGCAATGAAGGGCAACCTTGGGAGACAGACATTCTCTCTACTTTTAAGTTTACTTCCCTTTTGGATTTAGTTAGGGCGGGATCAGGTAAACCTGAACTTAGTTATGTTGCAGTTATGTGGCTTCTGGGAGCTTCCAATGATGCACTGAGTGTTCCCTCATCCCTAGCAGATGGATGCCCCTCCCTGAGCCTGATTCTGTCTGAAGTTTCTTCCTGTTAAAAGGGAGTGTTTTTTCTTCCCGCTGTTGCCAAGTTGCTCATAGAGGGTCATCTGATTATTGGGTCTTTACCTTAAAATTTAAAGCACCTTGAGGTGACTGCTGAGGTGACTGCTCTTGTGATTTGCTGTATAAATGAAAGTGAATTGCACTGACAATATATGTATATCTATTTTGTGTTCTTATAGCTTTCTGTGGATATATTCATGGGGGCGACCGTGGCTCAGGGGGTTGGGAAGCGTATCTGTAACCGGAAGGTCGCCGGTTCGATCCCCGGGCTCTCTGTCCTGGTCGTTGTGTCCTTGGGCAAGACACTTTACCCGCCTACTGGTGTTGGCCAGAGGGGCCGATGGCGCGATATGGCAGCCTCGCTTCTGTCAGTCTGCCCCAGGGCAGCTGTGGCTACAACTGTAGCTGCCTCCACCAGTGTGTGAATGTGAGAGTGAATGAATAGTAGCATTGTAAAGTGCTTTGGGTGCCTTGAAAAGCGCTATATAAATCCAATCCATTATTATTATTATTATATATGACATAATAAATTGCAACAAAACTACAGATACTGCAGATGAGAATCACAGCGATGGATCAGGTCGATATAGCTGTATGTGTGGTTAGATTAACATTATGTAATGTGGATAGGGCGGAGCTCGGGCATAGAGGATGAATAACCCCCTAACCCTTTCAACAAGGTTTGATGAAAAAAAATGTGCTGCCTTTGTGCACAGGTAAGGCTGTACCCAGCCCAGGTCCTCGGTGTGCAAAGTTCATCCTGGTTGAACTTTTGTGCTCCCTTTTGTGCTTCTATGTGTTTCTATTAAAAACAAGGAAAGCAGGAAAGTGTGAAGTGGCCCACATGAACACTCTGATCTGTGGAAATATGATTTATAACAGTTACTCTCTCAGCTGACATTTTACCAAGCCGAACCGAAAGTTCACTCATCAGTGTCCTTTTCATTTCTTCTTCCGTCTTCAGGTTCTTATCTTCTCTGGGTCGAACGACCCATCTTTAATAGACAAAAGAGATCAGCCTAGCGCTCTGCACAGGAGTTTTGGGAGAGTTTGGTGAGTACTGGTAGGGGGGGGGGAAGGGGCGCTCGAGGGGTGTGGGGATGTGCTGATGCTGAAAGGAGTGCCAGGCGACTGGGGGGGGGCGGTGAGGTGTACGTGGGGTGGGAGTCAGTGTGGTTGTGTGAGGGCCTTGAGGGAGGGGGGGGTGTTAATTCTGTACTTAAAGTAAAGGGCCGGGCAAATTTGGGGCTGGTGGTAATTATTTGGGCCTCATTATGGGATCGTGTTTCCCCAAGTCATTCTCTGTGGTAACCGTTACTGGATATGGGTCTGACACTGTCAATAAAGCGGGAGGAAAGATGACACGTCTTTTGTTTTGACAGGACCAAAGCAGTAATACCTTCTGTTCGTTTGCATTTGCAAAGAGAGACAAGGCGAGGGCCTCAGGGTGTACTTTTCCAGATGCTCCGACAGAGAAAGAACGCTCTGCTCCCCTCAGCGCTGGGCTCTGCTCTTATATCAGTCTTTCATGTAAATCTAATTAGTGTAGATACATGAAGTCTGATTGAGCGGTGTGTATCTGTGCTATCTATGGCACTGACCACAGTGTGTGTGTTACGATTATTGATACAGGGAAAGGATTTGACATTTGAGAAAAGGCTCAGCGCCTAGACTTTCAGCGCCCCCCACCCCTACATTTAGCTAATTGCTGAGATATATCAGCCAGTACCACACTGCTCCTGCACCTTCTTTCCAGAGATGAGTTACTTAGGCACTCTTCCTTACACTCTGCAGAACGCAATATTGTTGATTCATGGCCGAGCCGAGTTCCTCAGGCATTAAACTTTTTGGCAACCACAGGAGGGTTTCAACATTATTGCAAGTCATATGTGTTAATGTTTGTTGTGTCCTTTTTTTTCTTTTAGTCCAAACAAATACATAGCTATGCTCTCACTCATTTGCCCATGCTCTCACACACAGAATTAAAGAAAACGTGCTACCTGATGTGCTCCCAAAGGGTCAACGTTTCAGTCTTTCGTGCCAACTCAGGCTTCCTTTTCTTCTGAAGAGGACCTCTATATATTTCCCTTTTATAGTATTCTATATACACTGTTACAGTAGCTCAGGCTTCTAACTGTTCGGAATGCTCATTTTCACTGTTTTTTTCCTGTTATTTTAGAATATCATTAATATAATTAGTTATATAATAACTATAATATAATAACCTTCTGTTTGCAAAGTGGAGCCAAACAGGAAATTGGCTGAAGGGGAGAGTACTTAAAAGAGCTTGGATGAACAGTATATGCACAGCATAGGAGGGATTATTTTCAAGTGTAAATCAAGCAAAGCTACTTCAGCATAGTCCAAGAATAAAAATATGGAGCTGGAAATTAGCTTAATGGGTCAGCTTTAGTCATCCCAATCGAGGTCACCATTCTTTGTTGCCTTTTGGTTGCTAAACAACATCATCTTTTGTCCCTTTCGTTTTTTACTCGCTCGGTGGAGGAAGCGAGTCTCTAATTTAGATCCTGTTCTGGTATGAAGGGGGACGAAGACTTAAGTAATTAGTTTGTGATGATCTGTCTTTATCTTTGATCAGTGTGTTTTAGTGTTTACAGTTTATGAACATTTGGTTAAATTTAGAACAAAAAGCTGTGGTCACAAATAAAACAAAATAAAACTGGATCACATGCTGACTTTTTTCTATTCACTTTCTCTTTTTCTTGTCTGATGCAATGCAATGCAATAACATAACTTTTTTTTTTTTTCATTTTATTTTCCACCCTAATTTACGAATAAATTCTTTACAAATCCTACCATGTGAATTCATGGATTTTTTTTTTCACATTCTGTCTCTCACAGAATCGGCTCAAAATTGGCCAAAAATCGCACAGTGTATGCCCAGCATTATACACACTTCCTTTATGCAGTATCATTAGAAGGCATAGCATACATTTTCACTGCTATGCAGATGATACTCAACTTTATCTATCAATGAAGTCAGATTACACACACTAATTAGTTCAACTACAGCAATTTGTGCAATTGTAACACTGATGAAGCACCAATGAGTTAATACACACAAGGTATTAGGCTCAATATTGGGCTATTATTAATTAACTTGATCAGAAGCCTTAGGAACGGCTTCTGGAGCCTATGGTCAATAATGAGTAAATATATACAACACAATACGCTTGTGCAGGTACCATGCATGTACGTTTTACACCTTTTTCTGCTGATAAAGACTTGTTCACTACTGCAGGAAAGTAACCAAATAACAAAAAGTTTCCTGTTTTTTTTTTTTTAAAAAACAATTGTATTACTATTGGCTATATAAATTTGTTTTGGTTGTTTGTTCTTTTAATACAATGGGTCCACAGAAAAGGGCCATCTTCTGTGATTTCATAGAACTTTGTTAAATACAACTTCCGCCTGTAATTTTACACATTTATTCATTACAATTCAAGTTCAAACAGTTGTGCTGACATTTCTTTCATTCACTACAGCAGCATTTTTATATCATGGGGGCAGACTGTGATGTACTGTTGGAACCACACTCATTTTTCTATTAACTGGGATTAAATGTAGATAAACAGCTTTACACTAACAGAAATGGGAGTTTCACCAGTCTGACCAACTCGTGATCAGTGTTGTGGTAAGACTAATTATTTCCTTTGTTCTGTGATTTACAAGACATGGGAGAATAATTCAATTTTAAAAAATTAATTGTGATTGCCTAGAGTCAAAATTAGCTTTCCACCAGTGACAACTTAAGAGGGTCATCTAAGAAGGTGCAGCAACTAGTTGGCTAACTTAATTTACTTTTTGACTAACAATTGCCTACGCTTTTTTATTTGTTGTTTGTTATTTTTGTTTATTTAGTAAAAAGAGAAGAATTTTATAAAAGACATGACCTAAGTGAATCAGCGAGATTAAAGTTAGCAGCTGGAGGATTTTATTACTTTTGGCCAGAGCATCCAACTGTCCCTGCTAATGATTGCTACCAGTAACTTCATATATAACACTAAAGACATAAAAGTCTATAAACACATGTTCATGAATTCATGATTCATGAACACGTGACCTAAAGCTAAACCACCTGTATGTGTATTTTATTATTCATATGCTTTCTTACCTTCATCATGAGTACCACGGTGTTGAGAGCAATCATGATCATGATGGAGTACTCAAACGGAGCTGATACCACAAACTTCCACATCCTGTACTGGAAGGACTGTGTGTTCTCAGGCATGTAACGTGTTAGCGGTTTGGCGTTTATGGCAAAGTCAATACATGCCCTCTGCAACAAAATAAAAATACATATCTGCTTTACTGTTTTTATCATTTGAATGGAACTTCAGTACTCTGTTTTGTATGGATAAAAGCCTGACTTTGCTAGAAATAATTAAATATTTTATTTAGGCACAAACACCACATTTTTTTCATTTTGTAACTTTGGGTAACAGTTTATTTAGGTCCCAGATGCTAAAACTGGATCATTGTTAAGTAAAATTAACCAAGAACAGGTATATATTACAAATAATGTATTACAAAAATATGCATATTTAGTCACAGAAGCCAGATAAGGAGAAAATACTGAACCAACAAATACATAGTGGTCAGTGGCCATACCCTTAATAATGTTTACCAAATGTTACCAAGACAATTTGACCAATCAACGCATGGACCTCTTAAGATTTTGAAAGTGTCTTATGGCTCTTAGCAGCAGATTATATTTAAGACCTTGGTCATTCCATCTGAAATCATCAAAATTTTAGAACATTTCTGTTAAACCATTTCCAATTTGCCTTAAAAATGTCTCAGCTTAGTTATTAGCTTTACAAAATCAAATATAGGACAGCACAGTGGTCTTCATGGGCTCCATTTTCCTCTTACAGTCCAAAGACAGGCAGTTAGTGGAGTTAGGTTAACTGGGGATAAATTGCCCATGTGAGTGAAAATGGTTGTCTGTTTCTCTATCTACGTCCACACTAGCCCATATAGATTTGAAAACAGCGTTTTTGTCTGAAAACGCTCCGCACCCACACTAGCGTTGTCAGTTGTTTTCACAGAGTTGCGCTTCCACATTGAAAATGCTTACGTTCCAGTACTGCGCATGCGACCTGCCTCATTTCTGTCTGCCGTTTATTTACTTTCTGGCTCTTTGAAACGTCCCGGCAAAATGTTGAGGAAAACCACAGAGTTTTTAAAATGGATTAACAATGAAGTGAAGTTGTTGCTGCGAGTAACACAAAAGTACAAAGTTGCAAAAGCAAGTGAAAATTAAAGAATTTGAAGAAAAGCTATCTGGAGCATGTACAGACTGATATTAATCTTTAAGAGGGCTGTCAAAATTGAGAGCAAACAAAACAACTGCTGTATAATGCCCTCAGTTGTCTTTGTTTAATTGGTCACATAGCTGCATCATATGACTGACATGCGTCACTGTTTAGAAAGTCTCCATTTTCGCTGTCCACACTGTGACGCGAAAGCACCGTTTTCAAATGTATGCGTTTTCGAGAGCATTTTGAAAATGCTGTGTTTTCCATGAGCGAAAACGCTGTCTAAGTGTGGATGGAAGGTCAAAACAGAGAGAAAACCATGCGTTTTCAAACGAAAATCCTAACTTTTGTGCGGCTGTCTTCACCACTTAAAGACATGTTCCCACTAGGGATGGGTACCGGTGTCACCGGTTCTGACATAAACGGTAGCAACCAGACCGAAAAGCAGCGCACATTTTGGTGCTTTTTTTTCTTGAGCTGTGATACACTTCTAGCCAATCATTTTACGTTTCCGAGGATAGTAGGCAGGCCCAGGTACGTTCTGTTAGAGCAGAGCTACAGATTAAAAATGCCCAAGGCGAAGCGGTCAAAGTCTGGCTGTACTTCACAGCAAAATATGCAAACTCAGCAGCCTGCAATAAGTGCTTTAAGCTGATACTGTGATACTGTCAAAGGAGGTAACACCTCAAATCTGATGAAACACCTGGCAATGCATAGCGTTTCTTTTTAAAGCCGAGAAATGCGCCGTATTTGATAGCTTGCTGCGAGACCTCACACCATGCACATCTACTGCGGGTGGGTTGCCTGTTATCGGAGCCGAAGTTAGCAACATCCCCCAAAAACCCGAAGAGGAGAGTCCTGGCCCCTAGCCCTGCCAGTGTAGCAGAAATGATGACGGATGATGATGGCAGCAGCAGCCGTTCTTCTCTGTGTGAGTAGCTTAATGTTGTTCGTGTGTAATTTACGTTGAGTAGGCTAACCACGTTATTAAATTAATGCATGTAAGGTGAACTAGCAAACGATACTCCCTTCACCCTGGCCAAAAAGGCTAAAATGACCAAAGAAAAAGAGGAAAACAACTAAACATGAGAGGTTTTTGGACAAAGTTTGTGTTTTTTCCATTGTTTAAGCACTGCTTCCAGCCAAGAGTGATGCCATATATGCCCCATAGCTGCAGAAAAGGCTAACATTGTTATATTTTTACAAAAAAACAGCTGAACATGAGAGGTTTTTGGACCAATGTTGTGTTCTCCATTCTTTAAGCACCGGTTCGAGCACTGTTTAAGAACCGGCACCTTATTTAAATATGAAATATTTTTAAAAATATTTCATATTTAAATAAGGTTAGTAGCCAGAAGTTTATTATTTAGGTCAGTCAACCAACACAAGCCAAATTTATACATATATTAATCATTCTAGATATAACACAGAAAGTTACTTTTTCAATATAGCTATGTTGTTCATTTACAAGTCCATCCTTCTGTGCCTGTCTCCTGTTTCCTGTTTTACTTTCATAGTCTTATGTCCTATGTTAGTGTATTAAGTTTTGCTTCCTCCCCATCTTGTTACATTGGATCTTTCCCAGCTGTATTCCTCCTGTGTTTCTACTTTTCTCGTTACTCCCTTGTGTATTTAGCCCTGTGTTTTTCTCTGCCTGTGTTTTTCTCTGTCCGTTGTCGCGTTGGTATCGTCATTTAACTGTGTGTCTCTCCTGTGGTCTTTCCTGAGTGGTCCTAGGTAACTCCCCACCCCAGTTTCTTGTTTTTCTAGCTCCCTAGTTTTAGTTTCCTGTTTAGGTTATGTTTTGTGTTTTCTTTGCATGGATGTTCACAGCAAATAAAGCTGCCTCTTTGAGTTATCCCTGTGTGTGTTGAAACCTGCATTTGGGTCCACATTCTGCCTGCCACAGCACAATGCATGACAATGGCATGATCAGGAGTGAGATAAGATGGTGTCCCTAACTCCTAAACAGAATCCCTAACGCCCTGACCTCGTGACCCAACTTTAACCCTAATTCCACAACTGGCAAGAGGGGATCAGTATGCTGATTGTATTTGTAATACATCTTTGTATATTTTAACCTTAATCTGAATTATCAGACTCCTCCGTGGCAGTAGGTGTGAAAATGGTAGGTGGATAGAGTAGGTTTTAAAAATGAAAAATATGCATATATTTAAGAACATTGTTTTCTCACTTATAACAGATAACCCCCATATTCCCATCCCTAACTATCTGTCACATTGGGCACTCTGTCCTATGCCTTGTTATTTGATTATGTTTGACACACAGCACTTTGGTCACCAGCTGTTGTTTTTAAATATGTTATAGAAATAAACTTGACACATTTTTTAAATTTATTTTTAAATGATATTAGATAACATCCAGAAGTTATCATTAGTTCTCCTTCACAACGTGTAGTTTTATTATTTATGTGTTATCACACATGGGGATTTTACGGGATTGCTTGATTTTCTTTTTATATTTTAAATGTTCAGACAGTTTTTGATGCCTCTATCACAAATACTGATTCATTTTGATGGAAATAAAGATCAGTGAAAATTTCAACCTTTTTAATAGTTTTTGAGATGATCATGTTCTAACATTGTCTTTTGTTTAAAAAACAGCAACAACAAAAAAAAGCATGAAAGTGGGTGGAAGCCTTTTTTTTAAAAAATGCATAAAAAATTGAGGCTAAAATGATCAATACATACCCAAACTTTGGTTAGTTTGGTTTTTGTGCTGATTTCAGATGGCAAGACCCAAGTCTTCAAAACAAAAAAATCACTTAAATAACAAAAATATCTTCTGAATTATAGCATTACCACTCAGAGAAACTTGGTATTACATGTGGTGTTCCCCAAGGGTCAGTGTTGGGACCAAAACTTTTCAATGTATACATAAATGATATTTTTGATGTTTCTCAAGTACTTAAACTCATACTGTTCGCAGATGACACCAACATATTTTTCAGTAGCGATGATTACACTGATCTTGTAATGACCGTAAACAGGGAGCTAAAATTAGTTTAAAAAATGGAAGGATATAAATAAATTATCATTAAATATAAATAAAGCTAAAGCAATGATTTCGGTAATTTAAAATATAATATTGAATTACTAATTATCATTGAAGGTGTACCCATTGATAATGTGAGTGAAAACAAATTTATGGGAGTCATAATTGATAACAAAATTTCATGGAAACCACACGTCAGACACATAAAACCCAAAATTTCCAGAAGCCTCGCAGTTTTGAACAAAGTGAAACCATACCTTGATAAAGATGCACTTCGTACTCTGTACTGTACCCTGGTTCTTCCATATCTTACATATTGTGTGGAAGTGTGGGGAAACAC